AGTCTAGTTGTGGAGGACGTCGCTTCACTGGCCCATTTGGTATTATCATTTCACTCTTCCCGGGTGAGGCAGTCGCTCGCCGCCCATTACACAGCCGCTCATGGCAGCTCACACAGGCTGCCAGCCAGCCCCACTGCAGCCTTAGCCTTCGCAGGCAACACTGCAGCCCAACTCCAGGTGGAGCTGTTGTTCACCATCTTAGCTGTAGAGGGCACAGCATCACTGGCCTTCATGTGGGATCTGAACCGGAGCCCTGCTGCTCAGAGCCAACTCAACCAACGCGCCACTCGGCCAGCCCAGGATGTTCTTTTTTATTAGTTTCTTGGGGGCAGGTGTGCAGGGTTTTTGTGTTAAACATAATTTAGCAATCTCCTGAACACACTTGAGATCTTTGAACCTCAGTTTCTTCATTTGAAAATGAAAAAAACAATATTTAATCGAATAGTTTCAACAGAATTTCTTCAACAACATCAGACAAGAGGGAGACCTCAATAAATGTTTGCTACCTCCCTCTTTTATTGGTCTGCATTTCATCTAAATGTTTTCAGGTAAAATAAATCACAGCAAGTTTCATTTGCTTCAAGAGAAGGTAGCTAGTAATTTGTGAACATTCTGTATCTTTTAGTTTCCCAGTTCAGAACATATTCTTCAAATACCCTGCAATGATTATTGCCCAAATGGACATAGGGTGACTGGTAATGAATAGTGTTTTCCTTTGTATAGTGTTTATGATAAAAGGGAAAGTATTTAAAAATAAATTTGAGGCAACCTGATAATTACATCAACACAACTATGCTTCAAAATAAATGTATGCTGAAAGTGATATATCAAAGGTTATTATTTCCCATTTCTTCCCAAAGAGGCCTGTGAAAATAGATGATAAATTATAAGTAAAGTTAATACAGATTCCATATTTCCTGCTTACTAATTCTCTTTTGAAAGGTAATTTTCTTTTGAAAGGTAATTTTTTCTTTATGTCAATTCACCGTGTAGAAATTACATTAGTTACAAATGAAAGACTCTTTCTTCCCTAATGAAATCAAGGAAGGTTTTTTTTAAAGTCTTTTGTATGATAACACCATTTATCAAGATTATGAAATGGGTCATTGTGGTGGTTTGGTAATTATGCATATTTTGATCAAATATTTTAAGTTGTAGAATTACTTAGTTGTGTAGAAATCTATCAAGTTTACACTATTGCTTTACTTATCCATACAGAGTACCATAAGTCTGTGGTTCTGTTTTCTTTGGTTTATACATGAGCGAAGGTGATATGACAAAAAGTGGTAATGATAAAATTAGCAGTTACAGTGCAAGGGCTTAAAGAGGTCTTTTTTCCAGAGGAAGAGAAGAATCCAGGTCATGGCCTTCTTTTCAGAGCTGCCTTATGTAAAGAGAACCTCCCTGTATCCCAGAGTAGCAGTGTTGAGTAGCCATGGTTCATTTGTTGCTTCAGTCATTCCTCAGATACGATTGAGTATACTTCTTTCCAGGAGCTGTGCCAAGTCCTAGGGATGTGGCAACGAAACAACCAGATATGAGCCCTGTCCTACTGGGGCCTGCCATCTAGCAGTAGCTTTGACATTAAAGCGAGTATTATGAGCAGTAGAACAGAAAGTTACAGAAAAAAAAATGGGAGAGTTTCACTGAATAGAGAAGGAATGGTGTGCTCACGGGATTCTGGTTTCTGTCAGCTTCTCTTAGAAATTTCTTTGTGAGAATGGAATGAAGTTCCAAAAAAACCAGATAGGCTTACCAGAAGCTTATGCTTTAAAAAAATGGGAAGGTAGGAGATATGGGAAGGCTCCGAAGGAGGATTCTTGGCCAGGAGAATTTGGGGAATAACCTGGACATTGTAGTTCCAGAATCCAAATCCCACTCTTACCTGAGCCCACTCTGCGGGTTTCCTCATTCTTTCTCATCCTCTTTCTCTCACCATAAGAACCCAGAAGCCATAGTTGTGGTCTGCAGAGGGGCAGAGAAAATGGTAACAGGCCACCAGGCGACTATTAAAGAAGGATCCTATAAGCTTACATTTAAAAACTGAAGTTATTATTTTATTTTTTGGATTGCAGGCTAAAACTCTGACTGTCCTTTTGATACATTTTTACTATTTAAACCAAGTATCGTTCTTTCAGTATAAGATCATACAGAGAGAAGTTTGGCCGTTTCATGATTAACTTTTATTTAAGCTATAGTAACTTATCCTAAGATGATCAGTACAAGAAACCACATATTGAGGTATAGGTAATGGAATGGAGATGAAGAGATGGAAGATGGTTATCCACATACATCTGGTGATAATATTTCACAGATAATATAGTTATATTGCCAAGAATATAAACTTGTTGTTGTTGTAATGGCAACAATAAAGAAAACACCATTGTCAGCAACAAAACATACTTGTAGTAGGAGGGCAAAGAGAGAGGGAAAAAAACCTGGGAGTGTGTTTGTGCTTGTACCTATGCAATTGTCTAAGGATGCTGGGAAGTAAGCCAAGGAGATATTAATAGGATTTAGATTTTAGTAACTAAATCTTGGTGTGACTGCACAAGTGTAACACAAATTATGATCATTTATGTGAAAACTTGCTATTTATTCTTGATGACTAAGAAGTTTTTACCTATTTTATTTTACCTAATGTCTTGGTGTAGAATTAACCCCTGATCGTTCACAGAATGTAAAAGAATTTATGAGACTCTACAAGAGTATCCAAGCAAAGATTTATTGAGAGAGAGAGNGAGAGAGAGAGAGAGAGAGAGAGAGAGAGAGAGAGAGAGAGAGAGAGAGAGAGACTTGCAAAAGTTTAGCCAGGGCAGAGTCCAATGGGGGACAGCTGCAGAGACAGAGGGGTAAGAGAAAGATACAGGCAAAGTTTAGCTAGGGCAGAGCCCAATGGGGGACAACTGCACTGATGAGAAGGAGTGCTGGGATTTTATATTTTTTCCAAGCAGGATGTAGGGTGCTTGTCAGTTTGTAGGAAGGCTGCCGTTACAATTGTCTTCTCCTGGGAACTGTCCTGTTCCTATCTATGATGGATGTCAGCTTGCAGGGGATTGCTGTTGCAATTGGCAACTGTTCTGTTCTCACCTATGGTGGATGCTAGGTGCTTGTCAGCTTGGGGTGCAGTGCTAGCAGGGGGAGTCAGAGCCAAGTGGTTAATGTTTAAGCTCATGCCTGTTAGCCCACAAGCTCACTCCTGTTAACTCTTTGCCTGTCCCATCTTGCCAGCTCACAAGCCCACTCCCATTAACTCTTTACTTGTCTCATCACCTAATACATTACCTTTCTTCCAAATTTTATTCACTCTCCATATTTTTGCTTAGAATAGATGCTAGTAATGTGCCCCCATAATTTACTAACAACATAGGGTAATAAAATAGATACTGGTCATGTCTTAAATATGTTTTTCCTTGCTGACAACTCAAAGAAACAGTATGGCATATTTTATACTTGTATTTTTGTTTTAACAGGCCTCCCCAAAATAAGCATAACAGGGCAGAATTTCAGGTAGTGTTGCTGGCTGGTGGAGGAGTTATTTTTGGAAAGAAGAGCTTGTCACAATTTCAGATTTCTGTCTGTGACAACAACCTTCTATTTGACAGTTTTCCCACACTTTTAGTTTCAGTATGTTCATCGTTTCCCATTATATTGAGTTTATTTCTTTCTTATTAATTTCAGGCCCATATAGTCTACACTGTCATGGTGCTTTATACTTCTTAATTATTATTTCATCACACTTGTTATTTCATCATACATGCTTTGTTATTTCATTATACTTGCTTTGCAATTACATTGGATCAGTTCTACCCTCGGAGATTTGGGCTTCTACAGTCAGGCTACTGAGTATAG